CAGTAATCATAACCAGAAAGTCCCTTTAGGATCCAAATGAGGATATTCAGACGGAAGGATAAATGAGATTCAGCAAACAGTATTTAAAATTCTAAATTAATTTGTATTGATCTCTAAACATTCTACACTTTCATCGAATGAATACTTACCATTACTTACAATAGTTTTGTTCAATAAATCTAAGATATTTATCTCTTTACAAAGAGTCAATAATAAACATCTTAAATGTCAAACTAAAATGTTTACTTTTTGGATCTCTGAACATTGATGATGTTGGCTACCTGGATTTAGCTTTAAATTAAGATGCTTTGTTTTTCGATGTGTTCTTGTTCCATTCCACCAGTTATTAGTATCATAAAGAAATGATCATAATATAGCAAGGGTTCCACTTATCCATAATTTAGTTTAATGTATAAAATGTCGTGAAAGTGGAACTAAATCTAAAATAGTTGATTTATTTATATGACTTTTTAAAAGTCTTCTCTTGGTTTTATTCAATTATATATTAAGAGAAAAGAGGAAAATTCAAGCCTGTCAGTGAAGGACTTGCATTTATCGTCATGATTTTTATTCTAAACGATGTTAAAGTAGTTCGGACACTTGCCTACATGGATAGTTATTTATTTTGCTTTAACAGACGACCGATCCAGAGTCTCAGTCAATAAACTCCTAAGGAGAACAGAGAAATAGTTTGGTTAGTTAAACATATTAGAATGTTTTTGAGGAGATTTTAACAAAGAAAACAGACCAAAAATGATTCTAGACTCAAACACAGAAGTACTATAACTGTTTAGTCTAGTTAATAGTTTTGAAATCCATATAGAAAAATCTAACAGCACAGAATACCATCTGGAAAGTCTCTTCAGAATATCTGACAAATTGATTTTTTCCGTAAATTTTACTTTCATAAGTGTTGAGATTCAATAGCAAAATGACGATCATAATCAATCAAAATATCAACTCATATATTTACATATATATTTTTCACAGGTTGAAATCATGAGTCAGTTGAAGCTAAACCACCATGGAAAACCTAGAAGCACTGGACGGCCGTTTTGTCCTAATACGGAACTCCTCAGCAGTGCGCATTCACGATACCGCACCCTGCGGGACTCGAACCCATGACCTACTGGTTTCGCGCTGGAGTTCAACCAGGTCTGTTGTGAGATATCAGCTCACTGAAGACAATGGTGTGCGGTGGCGCAACTTCTTGGATTGGTTGAAGTTAGACATTAACACCATTGGATGCCGGCTCGGAGGTCTAATGGTTAAGTGCTCGCGCGCGAAACCAGTAGGTCATGGGTTCGAGTCCCGCAGGGTGCGGGGTCGTAGATGCGCACTGCTGAGGAGTTCCATATTAAGACAAAACGGCCGTCCAGTGCTTCTAGGTTTTCCATGGTGGTCTAGCTTCACTTGACTCATGATTTCAATCTGTGAAATTTCTAAAAATCTCCACAAAACCCATTCTGATATATATTTTTGTCTGATGGCCACTATTGAATTCAACTAAATTCTATTACGAATTCCTAGTTACTCGACTTTAAATAATGGACTAAGAACAAAAACTGAAAAGTCATATCTTGTTCTTTCTTAAGAAAACTAGTACCAAGTAAGTATCAATATGAGAAGTTTATCGAATGGAAATTCTCACCATGATTAAAGATGAAAGCAACTAATTTTATAGCACAAAACCATATGATTAGTTAGTAAATTTATCAACAGCATAGAATTAGTGAATATTCAAAAAACTTTTCAAAACTACCATGTGCCAAAATACTAATTTTATTGAACATAAAGTACTGAGAACAGCCATTATGTTAAAACGAAGTAAATCTAAAGATCATAATGAATGGCCTCTAGTATTTGTAAGCATCAGTCCAAATCGACGTTTAAACAGAATCGACCATAAGTACAGAAAAATCAGGTTCTGGTTCAAATTGATGAATAGGACAATTACTAACTAGTTAGGCATTTTAACAAATCTAATTCCCATTTATTTCAAGTTTAAAATATTTCCTGTGCTTTGTTGTTATCATGTTTTCTATTAGTACATTCAGTACGAATTTTACTGCTGAAAAAAAAGTGTGGTTTCGATTGTCAATTTTGAAGAGTTTTTGGTTGAGATCATGAACCGATTGATGTTAGATCACAAATAAAAACCTGGAAGCACTGGACGGTCGTTTATTCTATTGTGGGACCCCTCAGCTGTGCGCATCCAAGGTCCAGATCGTGGGATTAGAACCCAGGGCCTTCAGTCTTGCGCAACAACGACTAACTTCTAGACCGCTGAACCGGCATCTTATGGTGTTAATGTCTTACTTCAAACAATACACGAAGTTGCTCCACCGTCCATCATTGTCGTCAGTGAGTTATTATCTCACAACGAAACGGCCGTCCAGTGCTTCCAGGTTTTCACTGGTGATCTAACATTAATCGGTTCATGATCTCAATCAAAAACTAAATCATCTACACAACCCTATACAAATAATTTTGAAGAGATCCGATTTATTATTCTTTCAATAATAAAGGGAGAAGCATTACGGAAGATATTTAAATTTTTTAATACTGGTTCATAAGTTGTAGGAACTTGGTTAAAGCAGTTTATATCCGTATATGCTATTTAAAGAAAAGGATATAGAATCTAACCCTTGTTTGGCCATGTTGATTCTTTTGCTTTTTATTTGTTTCTTATAAAGAAGTTAAGGCTTTCTAACATAGTATGTATAAAAATCTGATAATCTTAGTCTTCATTGAATATTATGGTGACATGTCATTAAACGTGTACGACAGAATAGCTAAGTATACTACATTAATTATATTACATGTGCATAAAAACCTTCTGAATAAGAAGTATTCAGAATACACTGATAAGGAGGATGGTTATGTGAATAGATTTATTCAATATCATGATATAGACAATATAAATCATGTCACAAAAACATTTTATCAACTTGTAGTATAGTCGATCTCTTTATTCATTTCATACAGCAATAGTTCTGATGAGGCAAAAACACTTACGAGCTCTGAAAAAACGTTAAATTTATGATGTACCGATCAGGATTATAAAACTAATGTTAAATCTAATAAATTGTCACTTAGCAAATTCCGAATGATTTTTGTTTAATGTTTCTAAAGTACATAAATTAATAGAATTATCCCAATATTTAGAAACGAAAAGTCAGGAATTTCATTAAATTTACCATCTGTTAGTGAATTGGAATTCATATTTCCTAGGGCATTCATTTGTGATGAAGGGATTAGACTACATCTTAGGAACCTATAAGTTTTCTGGACCTCAAACATCTAAGTAACTTTATGGAATGCGAAAAGTTAAACTATTTGAAAAAAGTAATGATACGAAATCTAATAAATTAAAATATATTACATTTCATTCTTTATTCAACATTATATGTTCAAGTAATTACTTTGATTCATGTCATTGTCTAATATTTATCAAAACTCTTGGATGAATCTTTTTGTAAGCAATGATGGATAGTGGCTAGCATTGAGATCCAGAAGGCGCGTTTTTGAATTAAGCTTGTGAATTAAGGCAATATCAAGGTATACGCACAGTATGCACATATGCCAATAACAGACTGATCAATTGCAGTCTTAAAAAAACTCAATGGGAGGATACAAGCCAAACAATACCGAGTGAATCTTGTATCAATCTCTTGTAAAATAGTCCTATTAATAAAACTGATACTCAGCATACTTTGTAGAACAATTATAAAAACTTGTAGTTTCTAAAAGACAAGAATATTTTACCTACTTTATATGAATGAACAGATATATTGATTTTGTCAAAAGTGACAATACAGTAATACAGTAAAACATTTACAAACTATGATTAATTAAAGTTCAACTGGGTCAGTTATGATATAGTAACTCATTGATGACTATGGTGTATGTTTCGCTCAATTTCGTTGATTAATTGAAGTTAGACATTAGCACCGATGGATGCCAGCCAGCTCAGTGGTCTAGTGGCTAATCGCTCTTGCGCGAGACTGACAGGTCCTGGGTTTGAACCTCTCGAGGCGGGGTCGTGAATGCGTACTGCTAAGGAGTCTCTTACTAGGACGAAACGACTTTCCAGTGTTTGCAAGTTTTCCATAGTGGTCTAGCTTCAACTGACTCATGATGTCGACTAGTAAAGTTCATTTACTAACAATTTTCCTGAAAAATACCTAGTAAAAATAAATTCTCTTGCTTAATATTATGAAACAGTTCAAGTAATTTAACTATTACAGAATCAATCAGTAATTTAATGGATAAACCTAAAATGTTTAAATTGATGAGTTTGATGTTGAAGTTTTACCAAGAAAATTAATACAACATGAAATATGATTATATTCTACTTATAAGTAGATATTATAACTTCACTTATAAGTATAACTATCAAACCTTTATTATGATGCAATCATTGGGACTAGATTACAAAACAAAACATTTGATTGGATAAGCTATCGCTTATTTGTATTTAAAGAAAGAGATGATTTTTTTTTCAAGAAAAAACACTGAATCACATTTCATTTTAGTTTTCAGTACATTAACATTAATTTCAATGGTTGAGATCATGAGTCAATTGACTCATGGGTTGGAATCTCGCGAAGCGGGGTCGTGAATGCGCACTGCTGAAGAGTTTCGCAATAAGACGAAACGGCCATCCAGTTGTGGTCTAGCTTCAATTGACTCATGATCTCAACTATTGAAATCACTATAATATCCACAAAAACCCTTCTGATATATATTAACATTAACTGAAAGAATGCGTAAAGATGATTTGTGGTAACTTCAATTCAGCTGACTTCACAATTACATTCATGCCTAATTTTCTTTAAATTATTTAAACATTTTGCTTTAGTCTTACGCAATCATGAAAAAAAACACAGTCCAACAATAGAAAATCTCGTACGCATTTCTTTTTTAGAATTAGTCTTCGAATACACTCGACTAAATTGATTTCTTTTCTTCTTTATAAGTAAATGAAGTTTGGGAATGAAACGTTCTTGCAATTTGTGATATATACTTTTACCTGGACTAACTAAATGTTAGTTAAAGCATTCCAAATTGAATATATTCTACACAAAAACACCTAACTTTCTGTCCTTAGCCAAATTATTATGATACAATGTGCCCATAATGAAAAGAAGGTTAAAGGATAGAGAATTGAAGTAATCGTTTATTCGTTACTTGTATTCTATTGGATAAACTATAAAAAAGGAAGAGTAATTTTTTATTCCTAACACAAATGTGAGATAAATCGATTGGAAGGCTAAATAGTGAAAATATAGATAAACATACACATATTCTATATATCAACCTTACGTCAGATTGATGTTGAAGGGAAGTAATGGAAAATTATATAAGAATTTAGATTGGTTTACTTATGATGCCCTTAATTTTGATCGATAAATTTATTGAAATGTAACCATGTGCAGATAACCAATACGCCTACATAATCATTGAAATTAACACAAACAACTTGATATTTATTCTTATTTACACATTTCGTAAGTAATCAAACACAAATTTTAACTTCACCTTTACTTGGTTAGTGAGACAAATAGAACTTTTCCAATTATAAACAATATATTGTCATATTCCTAAAGGATTTTTAATAATAATAATAACTATCGTTTTCCTAATTACAGCTTCTCTTCACGTACTACACCCAATTCTAACATTACAACAAAATGAGTGACGAAGAAAGCCAACAAAGGTGAGTTTCATATTGTCTATGATTATCAAGTCTTTGGTTGTATACTGTATATATATAAAGAATATTCGAATTTATGATTTTGCTGTACAATAAAAGTGTAGATATATACATAGTGTGATATACGCCTTTTACTAAATTCTGATGATTTTAGTCATGAAATTAATAGCGATTTGGTCAGTTAATCATAAACAATAGTTTAGCATTATTATTTACATATTTATATAGTAGCCAAATAACTGCACATGAAGGCTGCTAAACGAAAAATCTATGTTAATACACAAACTTATGCGATATGGTTTATCTTTAGTTGAACTCTGTAAAACAAAGTTTGGACTAAGAAATTGACATTTTACTTACAAAAAAATGATAGCAGTTGGATGGTTGGAGGTATTTGATAAGAACCTCTGGATAGAAATTTCGTGTGAGATATCAATCATCAGTAAAGTGTCAATTTGAGGTAGCTGATAATTCTTGTGGAATTCGAGAAGTATTAAAGGTGTTCACCACATAAATAATTCTATCACATATATATACGAATCTAATTTAATCAATCAATTCTCCTTGAAACCGAAAATAAGCTGCTTAAATATTCTATTTATTACATTTGTGCTCTTGATTATTGAGAAGTGATATCTATAACCTTTTTCGTTGATTCGTTTATTATATTAAATGTATATTGTCATGAGAATTTCTAATCTAAAACACTACATAACTCGTTCATCATATCGAAAAGCTTGTCAGCTATGTGTCGCTTTTGTATCCATTACAGTCAAGCCTTTTTATTCAGCTTATATACCAAAAAAAATATCATTAAGATACCAAGTTGAAAGATAATAATCAACATTTTCAATTTCAGTTGATATTCAACATAACATGAATGCAGCCAAGCTTATCCCATGAATTATTCTACCATGTCGAACTTAATAATAATTTTTTCATTATTGATTGAAATACTAAAGTTAACTAAGTAGGGATGTTGATATATCATAAATTGACTGAATTTGAACATATGATCAATTGCATCATATCTTAATGCTCGAAATGTAATTAAACACAGACGAGACTTGAATGTCTTACCTTTGACATCATGTATGGTTGCAGGTAATCATTCTTGAAGAGTTTCAGGTTAGAGCAATATAAAATTCAGTCCATCTCGATCGAAAAGATTTAAAATAGTAAATCTAATTAATTAATATTATTTCTTAATTTGTTTATTCATTCATGATAAAAGACAAAAAGAACATAAAATTTGACACATAATGTAGTGAATACAGATTACATAAACGTATGGGTTCGAAAGCGGAAAAATAACGTTTGTTTATATGAATATGTTTAGTTGTTTGATGAATAAGCATAATTTGTTGAACTTGAATTCTGTATTTTATTTTTTCAGTTCATCGGAAGAAGTAAGTTACTCATTACTTTCATTATTTCATATATCGTATTAAAATATGTATAGGCATTCTGGTACAGAGCGAATAGTTGATTTTATTTAAGCTTATTACATTGACAGATAGAAATCTGAATTTAATCAGTTGTCAATTAACTAGGTTTATCGACTTATTGACCATGCTTTATAACACCCACTGAAATTTCATTTACATTATTTATACTACGTGTAGTTATTTAAGTAGTACAAAAGCGTTTCATCAAATAAAAACCGAAATTCATGATCTAGTCATAACTCTCGTAAGAAATTGATTAATTCACGGAGCAGTACTGTACGATAATGAAAATGTACCGAAAAATCACTGTCAAAGTTACCTATTCTGCATATTCCACCGGAATAATAAAATTAATTGGTTTATTTCAAGTCTAATTTTACAAATAATTTTTTTTGCTTTTTAATGATAACTTTTATTTATCCTTGTTTTATTGTATGATTCCATGTGATTTCATAATGATCTGTTATAATTCAACACAATATGACTATTATAGTCTGAGGAAGAGTCTGAAGAGGTGGGCACTTCGACGTTTAATATATAAACGCATCAAATTGAAAAAAAATATACATACATACATACGCACACACACATTCATGCCTATACTATAATGCATAGATGTATTTTTGTTGTTGTTGTTGTTGTTGTTGTTGTCATCATTATTATTTATATCCTATACGAAGTAAATTGTATTAGATTATTTAGTGCACTATCCTGGAATTGAGAGATATATTAATCATAATTATCTAGATATGACTATAGATGTTTCCAATTTATTTATTTTGGTTAATGTTATTGCATGTTATTTAAAGTGGGTTGTTTTTAGTTTATGTAGACGCTTTTACTTAGACTGTTATTTTTCTTTTGTTTAGTAGTAAAGCTATATAATACAATAGCGAGCTTTTAATTTTCTCAGATTGAAATCATGAGTCAACTGAAGCTAGACCACCATGGAAAACCTGGAAGCACTGGACGGCCGTCTCGTCTTAGTATGGGAGTTCTAGTGAGAAGCCGTTACCAGTGGAGTTGAAATATTAGCTCACTGAAGACAATGGTATACGGTAGCTCAACTTCGTGGATTGGTTGAAGTTAGATATTAACACCATTGGATGCCGGCCGTGTCAGTGGTCTAGTCGCTTAAGCGCTTGACGCGAGACTGATAGGCCCTGGGTTCGAATCTCGCGGGGTGCGGGGTCGTAGACGCGCACTGCTGAGGAGTCCCATACTAAGACAAAACGGCCATCCAGTGCTTCCAGGTTTTCCATGGTGGTTTAGCTTCAATTGACTCACGATTTCAATCTGTGAAATTTCTAAAAATCTCCACAAAACCCTTCTGATTTCAATTTTCTGTCATGATTATACAGTTATACTAAATGAATTCTTAGTTGAAGTTTGATAACTTAAAGTACATTATATTCAGAAGTTATTTCTCCTTTTCTTTTTGTTGTATAAATTTGATAATGAATTCATTGAAATCATTAAGAAATTATTTAAATATGCCTCAATAAACGTAGACACTTATCTATTATACAAATCATTTTAGTAAAGATAAAGAAAATACATAGGTTAACATAAGTAACACTAAATAGATCATAGACAATACAATTGCATAGTTAAAGAAACTAATTAATGACTAAAAACATTTGTCAGGTGTAATTTATAAACACAATCAAACATGAAACATAAGCAATGAAGGTATTTAGATATTTCTAAGATATTTAAAACTGTAATTATTGTTTCTAAGCAAAGATAGTGGATGACAGTAGAATCCAGTTTGATGCACTTTTCGTCTTATTTGAGACTCGTCAGCTGGATGTATCTGCATCTCAGAGTTGATGTTCAATCTGAGACTCAAACCCAGTGTTGCTCGCTTCAAACGCTATCGAGTTATCAACTTAGCTACTAAATATTGATAGTCACCTGCTTGTGCAATGGGAGAAGTTTAAATTCACTTGGTTTTATTTTACTTGTACTTTCCCATTGTTATACATACAAAACAACACCAAGTGAATTTGTATTCATTGTTTATTATAATTCTTTTCATATTATAGTTTTAAGTGATTAGAAAGTTATAATGTAAAACAAAAAACTCATGACATCAATATTCGACAATTCGATTATTTCAAACTATGACTTAATGATGAAAGCACTGGATTCCTATCAATCACGTTGAATATTCCAGAATAAGTTAGCTGATAGAGGAATTACTTCTTACTTAACTCATTTTATCTAAAACTTAATTGAAAATCAGATTACTTGGTTACAAAAAAATAAAATACACAATACTAGGTCAGAGGTAAATATTATCAAGCAATTCAGTATAATTTACTGCTTTATCCATATATCCAATAAAAAAAATCATAGATATATATGCTTCGTCTAATTAAAAAGGAATTATAATTAGCACGTTTATCACTATAGCGCATGTTCATTTAGTATATCTGATTTGTTTTATTTAATCAAAAAATAACTAATGCAAAATATCTTTATAGTTTCTTCATAAATGTTCACATTAATCGTAAAGCATGTTCAAATCTAATGTGTGTGTGTGTGCGCGTGGATACTGATGTGCTTATAGATGTTAATATTTAGCTTCGTTATATAATATAATGCTATTGGCACATCCTTATCCATATATATATATATATATATATATATATATATATATATATATATATATATATATATATGCCAAAATTAGTGTAGTAACCGTTTATTGAATTGAATTGTAATTAGTTTATTTCTTTGATTTTCTACTTTTACAGGAGACTGAGAAAGAAAAAAGGGAAAAGGTATGACTCGATATTTTTCTTGAATGCTAAAAATTTTGAAATATTCAATTAATTAAACTGTTTTATATTGTGTTATGTGTATTATGAAATGTATAAGGAAATCATTTGTTATCTATAGAAGTCAATTTATTCAAATGTAAGATCATTTATTCTAGGAATAGAATGTATGCTTATATAAATAAAGATTAAATAATCAAATAATGATAAATCATATGAAATCTCATGGTATAACAATGATTGAATACGATGAATAATCATTTTATCAATAATGAGGTATACATTTACTTGTTATTGATATATTAATCAGATATCGAGAAAATTATTGTAGAAAATGAGTAGTATATTCAACATATTTGCTGTTTAATTTAATGTCACGAGAATAACTATATAGGGATGAGATTCTAATGTTTTATACCTTTCCAAGTGTCATTTTAGAGAAAAGTTTAAACTTAATATTAGTCCTTAAATGCCCTGGTACGGCCGAGAGTAGGGATAGTCCGCTCTCCTTCTCGAAATGCTCTCAAATGGCCACACGTATATAGCCTCTGCCAGGGAAGTCCTACTCGCTACCTTCTTGTAACGGGGTGTTGTTTACGAAATTGAGAGGACACAAAGCAAAAGTCCGGCACTTTCACCGGGTTGGTGGATATGGAGAGTCCACCTAGGGGAGTTGGATAACCCTGATTCCAAACCAATGGTGCACATGGGCTCCAGTATCATGAAGGAACAAATGGTGTATAAACCAATCGTTGGCCACCGGCTACCAGTGGACTGCATCTTCTTACGATGCTCCACTGCCTTGTGAACCAGACCTTCAAGTCGAAGGCTCCGAGTTGGCCCCGTAAGAAAACCACCTGCTTCGGTTTGAGCACCTGGGCAGTATCACAGCCCTCACAAATATCAAATGAGGTTTGTGTGGCACATATGTATTTGGTGCCTCCTTGTACCAATATCTATAATAATATTTACATACGTTTACTTTCAGTATTGTTTCTTTTTGTTCAAAATGAAAGCATCAAAACATAAATGATTTTTATTTCAAGAAGTTATTTGTTTGTTATACTTATTCAAACTTTGTAAACTCTTAATTGGGTATTATAGTTTGTTAAATTTTATGGCGCCTATTTTTTTTTGTTGTTAAATATTCAAACAAATAATCATGAAATAATTATGAATGATTACTAATATCTATTTACTTTATTGTGAAAATGAAAGGTCTTGTGTTTCATAATGAAATATAAAAAGAAAATCAACATTGATTTGAGTTTATTAAATGTAATCAACACCTATCTTTAATTATAATTACATAAAATAAAAAGAAGAATTCAATTCGTTTTTCCATAAATTAAAGATTCTATGAATATGAGAACTAATTAATTAATAAATAAGAGAGAGAGAGAGAGAACTTTGAGTAGATAATCAATAAGATTTTGTATTTGGATAATATTTATGATAAAATGACAATACAATATAATACGTTCATTTCAGTTACTTAGCTTAGAAATGTTTCAATTTTCTAGTAAGATAAATCATGTAACATATTAGTTTAAACTTGTACTCACACAACAAGTTTCATATGGATACAACCACTAGATAAAACGAAACAAAACAAACAAAACGTAAACAAGAACGACATATTCATGCATGAAATATAAACTTTGAGCTGTTAAGGTCAAATCCAATAGTAGTAGTAATCTAAATTTTGACCTGGTACTTCATGAATCTGATCTTAAGAATAATGTCATGATTTAAATAAATTGTTAAACATTGGGAAAAAGCGCACTAAATCCAATATATATATATATATATATATATATATATATATATATATATATATATATTTATGAGAGGGGTTTTTAATGAAGATAAAGTTGAGATCACGAGTCAATTGAAGCTAGACTTACCATGGAAAACCTTGAAGCACTAGACGGTCCTTTTATCCTATTGTGGGTCTTGAATTCGAATCTCACAAGACGGGATCGTAGATGTGCACTGCTGAAGAGTCCCAGAAATAGGACGAAACGACCGTCTAATGCTGCTAGGTTTTTCATGATGGTCTAGCTCCAATTGACTCATGATCTCAACTATTGAAATATATTTTTATGTTGTTTTTTTTTAAGAAATATAAGTCTGATTTAAAAAACAAATTCATGATTTCAATCAGAAAATTCGAACTAACACTAATTGCAGAAATATAATTAAAATATTTTTCATTCAACTTAATTTAGTCATCTGAAACAGATTCAGAGGTAAACAGTTTTAGCTTATCTATATTAATTGTAGTTTGATGTTTTATGAGTTTGATCTTTAGTTTATTAAATGTAGATTAGTAGAATACATCCATTTATCAATAGTTAATATTATATAAGCAATGATTAAAAGTGTGGCAATACTGGACAAATGCCAGTTTTCTTTATTACGGATTCACAAATTACAATGTTGATATAATTAGTCTTCGAAATTCCTAATGCGAAGATGAGATTATTTTAGAAAACGACTCACTAGCTTTGTATCGATTGCGTTAAAAATAATTTCAGGTTATACTCATTAAAGATAGAGAATACACTGCTGAAGAAAAATAGGGTCATTCAATGTACTGGGAATATTAAGTAGTTCTTTGTCTAGCACTGGTTTGTATAGACAAATATCTTTACACATTATCTGATCAAACAGTTTCCTCATCATAAAAATGAAAAAAACCACTAGAAAGCACCAGAAAACTGATTTGTTTTAAATTGTTATTTCATAGTAGCAATTTCTTAAATGACGGTGAGAGCTTTTTCTTCAGATAAAATAGTTCATTTCAATAGCTTCAGTTTACTTTAAATTTGACAAGGTAATCATCCAGACAGATTCTTTTAACCCTGTGTTAGCGTTCTACATAGAATAACATCTGAAGAATTCCTGAAGTTATGAAAGTACTGCACATACATGGTTAAGGACTTCTTTCTTTTTATTTGTTTTGCTGTTTTTCTTTTTCTTTGTAGTTTTATGATGATATTATTTGAATTGTTTTTAATTTTGTTTAAAATGATGGTTGTTTATTATTTTTTTTACTTGTGTATACATGTGACTGTTTATAGTCTTTCTTTTCTAAAAAAAAAGCGAGATAATAGGTAAACAACTTGCACTGACAACAACATTTCAAACAAACAACCCTATTTGAACAAAATATTTTTGCCATATGCGATGCCATTTTTTTTAAAAAAAAACGCTCCTGTTCAATCGGTTATTTTAATAAGTATAATAAAAGATAAACATTGGTTTCCTACACATATTAGAGCTAGTTCACTAGGTATCATAAGTCTTAATTGATCTAAATTCCCAAGTAAACTTAACAGATTTATTTACAAGCGAATTCATTCCTTTACAGTAAGTGCTTTTAATTTATTAACTACTAAAATTTAGATTAGAAAAGAATGTATCAGTATTTGAATCACAGTACTAGATAGAAGGAATCCATAAATGTTCAACTATTTATGTTTACTTGATTAGCAATGTTTAGTAGTATTGTTAACAGTGAAAACAATAATATTTGAATCTTTCAGTAAATCAAAATAACTTAGTTATAAAGGCTGTTTATTAATTATATATATATATATATATATATATATATATTCCAATGATGTGGCAATCAGAAGAGAAAATCAATACACTCCTTCATTTCTTACATTGTCTATTTTGTAGGAAGAAGAACGTCGACGCAGAGAGGAAGAGGTATGTATAAGATAGTTTTTATTATGTTTACTACATTATTGAAAATCAATGATTACTTTATGATATAATGTTTTATTAAAATTTCTTCATAGAATATTATTATATAAATTTTCAATCTTAATTGAATACATTACAAACATATACATAACAACGATGATAAATGAAGAAACAATAGTGAATATTAAAACATTTATCTCAGGAGAACTTTTCGTAAATTCAATAAATATATGTGAATATCTTTAATAGAATATTGACCATATGAATGTTTTAAATACGTTAATGTCTCATAAGCATGTCATAGTCAATTTATCTAAATGTAGATTTCTTATATATGTATACATATAGCTTGCTTGACTTCATATCCAGCCGGATCTATGAATGCTATTCCACTTAGATATTATAAAAAAAAGTACACATAAATGTGAAGGTATTTGTTAGTTAGTCTACATGTTCTATCAGAATTAATAAACAGTGATTAATAGGATTTTATTTTAAATGCATGTAATAATAATAATAATTGTATATAATAATATTCACTGCATGTTGACAGTTTAATTGAATATACATTCAGATATCTCATTACAGCATGGATATTATAATGAAAAGCTGATGAAACTAATATCTCAACAAACAAATAATAGTAGTGAATATACAGTTTATGAATTATGTATCTGTATATTAAGATGTTCACTGATCGTCTCTTTTTTTATTGATGTGTTGTTGTTGTTTTTGACTGTTTTTGGTTTTTTGCATATATCTCATTTATTCTATTCTATTATTTATAAATTTAGGTAGCTCAAGAAAGACAGCGTAAACTAGAGGTTAGAAATATTTTTAACATAAAACAAACATCAATGAAAAAAAATAAATGAAATGAACTATTTTTCTTACTAGTCACATACTTCTAATAGTATCCATTGATTCATTCACTAATCCCAAAATGATTCTTTATTTATTCACTTCACTAACTAATTACTCACTCACTTCGTTACTCACTCACTCACTCACTCACTCACTCACTCACTCACTCACTCACTCACTCACTCACTCACTCACTCACTCACTCACTCACTCACTCACTCACTCACTCACTCACTTACTCACAGACTCACTCACTTACTAATTCATCTATTCATCTATTTATTAATATTTTACAAATTAAATCATATTTATTTTAAGCAAAGTTAATTATTATTTAATATAAATCTTTCTAAAGGGGTGTTCTAACTTGTTGTCAAGACTTTAATTTAATTAAATACTTCAACAATTAGTCTAACAAATATTAACAAAAAAATTAATTAATCAATCAATTAATTAAAATGCACGAATAAATTGAACTGATAATGTTTTGCTTGGCATGTTTAATTTGAATGATAATAATAATAATAATACTAATGAATAGATTGAAGTTACAATGTATCTCAAAGATATTTATCAAGTACATTTTAGTACTTCAATGCATCAAGTACATTAGTTTATCCCCCCCACTCCTAGAAAAATCATTCAGATCATTTTATAACAAAGTGATGATATTGTCTTATCATTGGTTGAATATGTTAAAAGTACTTATCAATGATCATTTCAATGAAAAATAATCTCTTTGAGTTACATTGTACTATAATGAAAAAAAAAGTATAAAAGTGAGAAACATTCAAATCTCAGTTGATTAGATTTTTTAAATTTTCAATTCATAATTTAACCAAAATTTTGTTAGCCATTATTCACTTTTCTTTTTTTATTTTAATCTTGCTATTTATTTAATGTGATTGAATTCAAATGGCTTTTGTGCACTAGATAGCTTTCTGTATTCATGGCAACACAAAGGATAGATTTGTGAATTAATAAAATAGAATGTATTTCATTTTAAACTAGCGCTAATGAATAATCTATGCTTTATTTATTGCTTTTCATTTCTCCTAAACTTGATATTTTTTTATTTGCTTTATTGTGTGTGATTCACTCTCGTTTGTGATCACATGGTTTCATTCTTTTCGTTTTTTTTTCTTTTCCTCATTAAACTGTTTCTCTTTTTTGTTGCAACAAAAAGGAAACGAACGCATGGAAGATAAATATTGTTGAATCAACAACAAAAAAAGTTGAAACACATTACTAAATACCTGGGTTCTATTCTATTTTCACTTTTGTTTGCCTCTACCTCATAACGTTTTATTCAGACTAAACACAAGATAACTACTCAACATATATATGGGTATATTTTTCCATTGTGTTATAATTTAAGTCCATTATTGAAGTGTTTACATGTTGACTATCATCAGATCATGAAGATATGGATTGTTTAGGTAGTTCAGTCAAAAAATAGCAGAAATCTGTATTCATAATATTTGTATATATGTGTAAATAGTGATTGATGAATTCATCCTATTTCTAGAATTAGAGTGTTAAAAATGGAAAGATGTACACTAGATAAATGATCTTGAAGACCTTTTCTTTTATTGAGTACTATTTTATGAGTTCTGTTTAATATATTTTCTAACTGTATTATTTTGGACAATTCATTGTTTAACACTTAATGGTGAGTTATTTTCATGGTTGGTGTTCGTTTTCAAACAAAATTCGATAATATCATTTTATAATATTCCCTGAGAAAGAACACTAACTATCAAGCACTGACGGCGAGACTCTAATTTATGGACGAACCTTGAACGAATCTTAGGCGACCTTGAGAAATATTAGCCAATTAGTAAACACCCAGTATGGACTAAAAATATATTATACAAAACCAAGGAGATAAAGTGGATACACTTCTTATACTTGGTCCAAAAACTTATCAATGTTAGAAAGAGGTTTAGAGGTTCTAAAATCGTAATGCATGCAGTGGAGGAAATCATCCATACCGCTACATAATAGTCGGCCTCTGAAGCCATGATAAAGTCTCAAGAACTCTTTCAGCCTCAACCACATAGCTTCAATATTGTTTATGTGCACTCCGGTTGTTCAGTGCACAAAATGCTCCTTGTGGATAACGACACGATGCACATAACCAAGTCTATGTAGGAGTCTGTACGCTCTCCAAACACCCGAATATATTGTAGCAACTGGCTGCAGCCAGTGTTACTTGTGCTTTTATTATCCAGTTCGCGATAATTGTCGTAGTTTGACTTAGTTAGGAATTATATATAGGGTTTTCATCACGAACTGACATCAGCTATAATGCCAGAAATTTATTTAGCCAAATGGATGAAAGGCTTTCGCGTTAAAATCCGAGATGTATTATCTTATACTGATTGATTCGTCCACAAATTATAGTCTCGCCGTTTTATTTGTTATAGCCCCTCAATGATCACGTTTTGTACAAAATTCCCTGTGAACCGATCGTACGTTAGCTTTAAGTACTGAAGTTGGCGCCGTAACCTTGAAATCTCTAATACGCCTCTGATTGGTTCGTCCATAAATTAGAGTCTCGCCGCACTGACAAAATAAACAATATCAGTTTTAATTCCATTTTGAATTAATCCAAAATGATCAACTTTATTCATCCAATAACTTGAATTATTCATGTGAAAAATAAAAAGAATTAGTAACCGTCTCCACAATTCTCTTATCTGCTTATCAACAATATAACTTTTGAGAATTAAACATTCAGTAGAAAACGTTACTAGAAAATATGATTAGGGTTTAATTCATTTAACACATCGTTTGGTAAACAGTTATAAATTTCAACAGTTGAGATCATGTGTCGATTGAAGCTAGACCACCATGGAAAACCTGAAAGCACTGAAAGGCCGTTTCGTCCTATTGTGAGACTCCTCAGCAGTGCGCATCCACGGCCCACCTCACGGGATTCGGAAACAGGGCCTATCAGTCTCGCGCCAGGCACTTAACCAACTAGACCACTGAGTTGGCTGGCATCCAACGGTATTAATGTCTAACTTCAACTTATCCACAAAACTGACCAACACATCCACCATTTTCATCAGTGAGTTGCTATCTCACAAGTGACCCGGCTGAACTCCACTGGTCACTTCTTTTTAAGAAACCGAACTTAGTATAACCGCAATAAAACTGTAAAGAAATAATAAAGTTAAGTCATATTTCAAGTTTATAATTATGGAGTCGCACTACATTTTAACTTTTCATGGAATTTTTCATCGTGAAATGAGCAATATAGTCCAATGGATTAACTTACAAACCTTTACCCTTAATACTAAAACATTTAAGTCATTCAGCATGTAAAACCTTTTCACCTCATTGAAACAATGCATAATAATATTTCAAAATCTTCATCAAGTTACCAAGAGATAGATATTGGTCTAATTCTGTTCCTTTATTCTTTTACAGAATAATAGTTAGGTTTGATAAATATTCTGTTTTAGCTAACCTGCTAACTTCTGAGTTTGATGCTTTATTTTTGCTAATCTACCTACTGATTACATATGCTTTTATGTTAAAGAAATGATAGTAAGTAAATTCAACATGCTTGCATGTTTACGCCTAACATAAACAGCAGAATAGAATATTTCTTTTTCTGATTGATGACAAACAGGTGCTTCCAATTTGAATGGAATGAAAAATTTTAAAAACGCGCTCGTTTAAAGTCTTTTCAACACATATCCATAGTAGAAAGAATTACCTAGGTTTAATTACATTTTGTTTTCAATTTCTGTCCATAACAACACATAAAAGGAGAAGAAACGTAAAGAAGCTGAAGAAGCCTCGAAGAAACAACGTAAACCTGGTCAGAAGCGTAAAGGTTTAGGTGGTTTGTCGAAAGAGAAGAAACGACTGTTGAAAGTGAGTTAATCATACAATCTTTCGAATAACTCCATTTTTTTATGCAAGTGAGCTATATTTTTTTAGTGTAACCAGTAGAGTGGCATAGTTTTTATAGATATGATTAATTATGTGTATCAATATAATATTGATCTGATTTATGATACTCATTGATCTCATCCATCACAAACCGCTTCAAATTTATTTATATATGAAGTACTGAATCTATTTAATAATTGCTCAAGCTCCATTTAGATAATTAATTGATGAAAACCCTTAGTAGTTTAGAATACCACAAATAATGATTTCTGAGGATATCATACGGTACTATTGCAGTGGACGCTACTCACAAGGATGTTTGTAACTAAAGTATTGCGGAAAGTGGAGTCTAAGGTGCAACAGTTGACGAATAGAATGGAGAGTTCCAGTCCATTAAAAGTACAGAGTTGGTAGAACACCTAAAGTTCAGTTCAGATTGCAGAAAACATCGAAAAAATAAAATGGACTATTGAAGGCTATGTAAATGTATTATGCAATTACTGTTTAACTTCTTGTAATCAGTATACATACTTCCTGCCTACTTACGTGATTTAAATTTGTCGCTGCCAGGCATGGAGGCAGTTATGCAAACGACATTGCGGGGCCAGGAAGTAGACACTGATTCGACTGGTCTAGGTAGGACAGGAGAGGTCCAGCGAGGTGGTTTAGCGAGACGGCATTGGGTGTACCGGTCTCTGTCAATGATGTGGAAACGTGGGGCGTTTTGAATGTTTGATGAACCTTGGATTAAGATGGCTCAGCCGGTCAATAGATTTGTGGAGGTCGGCGCTTCTGCAGGCTCAACATTCAAGTCTAGTACTTATAGTAGTATCTATTGTCGTGTTTAAGGTTATACTTTATGTTAGCAAGATTTATCTTTGGGAAAATAGTCTTTTGTAAAGAAAGTGTCCTAATTTTTTAAGAAATCCCATTTAATTATATTATATTTATGGGACTGTTCTACACTCTTTCATATTACTGTTTTAGATACATTAGCCTTGTATCTTATAGTATTTATCAGTATTGCATAAACTTTATGGTTACTAATAAACCCTCATACTACCATACTGAATATTTACCATTTATTCACGATGCTAAAAAGAACCCACTTTTCATGATAAATAATTTATTTACCCACTCAGAACATAAAATTTAAAGGTATTAGTTTACTTTGATTATTATTTAACTAGTAGGACAGTTCACTTACCTTTATTACTTTCAGTAATGTTTCACAGATTTTTATTATAACATGCAAATACTTAATGACTTTTAATTGTAAAACAATCATTTCTACCATCCATGTAGTTCAGTACGATGTATATATACTCCCTCCATTTTATCTTTTGTTTTGTAAAATATTAATAAACACCTAGAAATATAGGGTTCTACATTTTATTGAGGCCCTTTATTTCGTCGTCATTTAGATCGGACGATGTTTGTTGACGGGCTTTCCACTTTAGTGGTCCGAGATCTGACTCCAATTTATTCGTATGAATGATTGTTATTGAATCTATATGTCGCCTATCCTTGTATATAATTATAAACTCAAATCACGTTAGTCAATAACGGAATTACATAAGTCAAATCGCAAGAATTGCTTTTGAATACATATATTTTGTATATGAAGCGAATGGAATAGAGCGAAGCGAAACGACGCGCAGTAGAGATGGCGGATAAGCCAACTCCATTTAGTCAAGCGTTAATCAGCATTTATAGTCACACAAAAATAAGTTACAGACATATGATGAATGGGTAAGAAATGTACATACCCATATGCGCTCATGTAAAAACAGTCAGCATTGATAAGCGGATAACTGACATGGTCAAAACGTGACTCAATTAGAATGAATAGATTAGCCTGTCCGGAAGCTAGAATAAGATATATGGGCTTAACATAATAACCGACACTACAACATCCCAAAATTATTCAAGATATTCATATAGCAGTTAAATTTCTTATTTCTCTCCATTGATCCAACAAAAAAAAACATCAATAATTTAAGTTAGTCCTTTTAACCATTCCATTTTCATCTTAGTTTTTCTGATCAATGAACAATTTAAAATTATCCTCATATCACACATTCATAATTTAACTATATCCTAACATAGAAGGATCATAAAAAGAAACAGATTTATAGGAACAGTTGTTTTGATTTTCCTTAAGTCGAATGGAAAATGTGCGTATGTATTGGCTTATCGACTGATTTCACATGATAATAGGATAAATTTACTTTAAGTAGCTTTAAACTGTTTTGTTGTTGTTGTTATTATTAATCTTCTTTGATTAGTTTATTTAGAATTACAAAATGGAAATTTCTAAGGATAGTCAACATTAAACTATTCCATCTATTAAAATACACTATGACTTGATAAAGATAATTTACAAAATGTAACTACAGTTAGTCAAGATATTAATACAATGTCGAACCGGGAAAATTTCTAACTTAAATAGAGTAGAATGCAATCAGACTACTAAGCTTTGTTTATACATTTTTTTTAAATTTTTTAATTTCATGAGTGAAACTATCATTTATGGACGACCTTTGAGCGACTCTAAAGTGACCTGAGAAGGTCCACCAAGTTACTAGAACTAAATAAGGGTTATAAGCCTGTGTTAATAAGAATAAAGATTATGATTTACAGTTGATGGTTAGGAATTACATTTAGGATTTTCATCACGAATAGACATTGGCTGAAATGCTAAAACGCTATTTAGACAAATGAATGAATGAATTTTGCTTCCAAATCCAAGACCTGTTATACTAAATCTGATTGGTTCGTTCGTAGTGTATAGTCTCACCGAAATTATTTGAATTAACAGATTTACGAAAGTTAGGTGTACTGAAAGCTTATTCGTATAATCGTTCTTTAGAGTAGAATTTAAGTTACTTATTTCATGTACATCAACAGTAGCAAAGTAAAAATGGTGGGCCGCATCAGGACTCTAGTCTTTAAGCCAACTTAAGTCATTACGTATTGCAAATACTAATCTGTTACTTGGTCATGACAGTACACATAGTAAAGGAGGTTAATGAAAAAACTCATTAAAAAAAACTGTGAACAATTTATAATCAACTGGTCAAGCATGATAATATTTTTAATAAAATCATCTATTTCAGCAACTGATTATGCAAAAAGCTGCTGATGAAATGAAAGCTGAGATGAAACGCCGACAGGAAGAACGTGAGAACTTTTTACGTGGAAAAGTAGAGCCATTGAAACTTGATGGTCTTGGTGAAAGTAAGTAGATCCACAACTGTTATCTGTTTTTGTACATGGTAAACATAGAATTTTTCTAGCTACTTTACGACCAATTAGAAAACTATTTACCGGTTAAGTGTATAGTCGAGATGTCTGCACTGACTAGTCACGTGGTTGCAGCCACTGTTATAAGAAGTTATCCTTAGCGCTATTCTACTTTCTTAGCAGGTTGATCTAGTTGTTCAACTCTTCTACGATCATTGATGTCTTATATAAAAGAATAGTCAACTAACTTCTAACCATCGATCAATTATTCTAGATATTTTGTATTGCTAACTGTTATCTGCTTTTTGTTCATTGCATAACATCAATTCCATATCTGTTTACATGTTATCGTAAAACAATTTACAATGATGGCTTCATTCTATGTGTACTTTCAACTTACGAGCGTCAGTTGGTGACTTGTCCGTTAAATCTATCTAATATTCGTTGAAAATCTGAATGTTATGTTTAGGTGCTTAGATTTTATCAGTTTATTTCAATGATTTAAACAAAAAGAAAAGAATATATGTAACCTTTGTATATTATGACAATCATATACCATAATCATAATTATTATTATGCATTATATAACATTTGTATAACTTTCAAATTCAATCTCTTTCTTTAACAGACGATTTAAATGCTAAAGTGAAACAGTTGTACGAACGTGTTCGACAACTCGAAGGTGATAAATACGATTGGGAAGAAAAGTTAAGACGTCAAGATTTTGAGGTGATTTTTATTTTTAGTTAAATTATTCCAATATATTTCGGTAATATGTCATACTTTAACGACTGATGATGAAATAATCACTGAAAACTAGAGGGAATATTGAATAGTAATTTCATTCAAGTATGGTGTGTGATGTTTATGTTGACAGATAGAAGTAGTATGTAACATCATTCAAAAGTGAAATACCTGGAGGCAGAAGGTTAAGAAGATCAAAGAAAAGAGAACGAGAACAAAAAACAATGTGGAAACTAAAGAACAACAAAGTTTGAGACGATTGACTAATATTTGCAAGAGGAACAGTCAAGTTTGAGACAAATGACTGACATTTTGCAAATGAAGCACTTACTGTATGGTTCTCAGATTTTAGTAAGATGTTCTATAATATTGTGTTCAAATATACTCGATTGTCTTCACTTGTGTTCTTGTTCATCATACTGGTATATAACTCCTCAGCAGTTTATTTGATATTTTTAGCATGAAATTCTTAAAAGTTTCATATGATATCTACTAATAAATAATATAAATAAATGGAAACAACCCATATCTCAATACTTTTAACGAAATGATAAATATCACAATTATTCAAAGTTGAATTCCGTATGAAGAAGCTAATAGTTTGCATTGAAAGTTTAAACCTTTTTGATCTGTTACAAGTGATTTGAATACTACATTTCAATACGAAAGATAGTAGTGGTGTAGTTTTGAAATTAATATTAGATACTAATGAATGTCTAGTGTTTAATTATTCTATATCTTGTAAGTTATTAGTTCTTGTTAGAAGTAACTCATCGACAGTGTGCATCCGAAATCCCACACGAGGGACTCGAAATTAAAACCTTCAGTTTCACCAACAAACGCTTAACCTCAATTTCGGTCTAGCTTGAATCCACTCATGATCTCAACTATTGAAATATATATATCACACTTGTAAGTAGATATGTACTAATTTAGCTACTTTTCAAATGAAAGATAAAAAGCCCGAAAGTGGTTGTTATGAAAACATTGAAAACATTTCCTTTATTTTCGAATTATAATGTTGGTTGTTTTTGTTCAGTTGAATTCCAACCAAAATAAGCCTCTTCACCTATTATTTAAAGCTTTTCTAACAATAATTTATCTTTTTATTTGTTCATTTATAATCAGATCAATGAATTAACAATCAAGGTTAATGATGTAAAAGGCAAATTGTAAGTTTATTATGCTTTATTTTAATCAAATAATTGGTTACCTGATTATTGATTTATTGAAATGTGAACTAGAATCATCCAGCAACTATCTTGTTTATTATCAGGTTTTATGGGCACATGAATTAATATCAGTTTTATAAAGGAGTAGACATGACTTTCATCAATTTATTTGTCAATCATCTGGTTTATGGCTAGGTTAAGCAATAAAATCGAAACCTTTGTGATGAAATCTCGTAAATGTAGTACTGTACTAAGATAGTTGTAATTTTGTCATTGACGATGACCAGTTTAACAATGAAAAATGTGTCGAAATCTCTACAAGTCCGGGAATTCAATAAGTTAAACAATGTATTTTCAATTTTCACAACTTATTTTAGGTATTATTAGTACTACTAGATTGAAATAATTGGGAAAATCTAAGTTTGTAAATTATTTACTATTGCTGTTAGAGTATCTGTCAAGGTAGGAGAAATATTAGGAATTGAAGAGAGAAATTGATTACAAATTCAGTGTTCTTGAGTGCTGTTAGAGCTGCGAGGGTGGTTAGCACTTTCCGCTTATATATAAACCAAGGTCTCTTGAAAATAAATACTTGGTCAGAGGAACGTCATACTCAAAGAAAAACGAAGTACTAAAATTATCAAAGGTATAATTTCCCCATACTATTAAAAATGGGTTCATTACTATCAATTCCACGGATCTCATATGCACTAATGTGATGTTTGTATGAACTAATGATTCATTTGCACTTGATGACTGCCTTGATTCCAATTCGAAATACAAAACGTTTGTTTTTGCTCACCGAATTCTGTTTACTTGGATTGTGTTATTTTTGGGATTCCTAGTTCGTACAATAATTCAAATGCTTCTAAATATCACGATTATACAACATAAAATCAAATATGAACGTACTACCAACAGGATAATTCATATTTCTAATATGTTGTCTCTGTAAAATAGTAACTAATTACATAAGAAATTCAGTCAGTCAGTGGTCTTGAGCGCTGTTAGAAGTATAAGGGTGACAATCACTTCCCGGTTACCCACATCACGGAAGGGTTCTTCTAGAGGTACCTGGATAGGAAATTGGGTTAGAGTTGGTCTTATTGACCTGAGAGTGTGACCGCGGTGCCCAGGTGACAAATATTTGAAGCCGGTTACACACAATCTTTTCGTGAGCAATTTTCGTGTTAGCTCTGCACTTATTGGGACCTTACCGCCAGAGACGGAAATCCGTGGGATAGTTCGAGATGTGCATTTTTGGGGCCGACCTTTTCTAACCCAACCCTTCCTTCATGCTGAATGTCCGAGGAAAACACCTAACTGCCGTCACACCTCTGTACAGTCAGCAGTACGACTTCATCCTCGGACCTTAGGTCTGCTGCTTTTAATCTTACCACTCTTCAACCGACCTCTATGGCATGGTAGGACCTTGAGAAACGAATGTTCAAGCCAGTGTAGCCCGATTGGTTCGTCACGATAGGCATGCCCGACCACCGCGTCAAGGAAGCAGCAACGGTCGTGTTATTAGAGCGATGGTTGAGAATCATTGTATTATCTACAAGACCTTTAATTTATACAGTATTGTAACGATTATCATGGATCGCCAATATGTTAAAACAATTGAAAATTAATTTTTTTAATATTGAAGAGAAATTTATGACCTTTTACAGTATTTTATAGTGTAGTATTAAGATTTTCATTATCTACCAATTCAAAACTATTCTCTATAAACTTTATGGTTGAATAATTTACAGAAAACTTTTTAATATTTATATTCATAAGTTATAATAATATTCTAATGAATAAGTGACTAATATGAATCAATCGTTTATTTGTCTTTGAATAAAATGTTAGCTGCTTTTGAGATGGTGGAAAAGATTTGTAGCTCAGGTGGGTAATTTTGATGGAGTTTTGCTCTCTGAACTGGATGGTTTGGTCGTGGGGCTTTCATCGTTCCTTTGGACGAAATCATCAGCCCAAACTTCAGATACAACCAAAACAACGAGGTAAACAATGACAAAATTAAGGTCAGCAAGAACTAATCAACATCGAGGTCTACAGGACAAGCTGTGAACTACATATGGAGAAATTCGAACGTTTCACTTCTATCTGAAGTTTGTGCTGATGATGTCGTTCAGAAGAACGATGAAAGCTCCACAACCTAACCATCCAGCTCAGAGAACAAAACTCCATCAAAAGTTAGCTGCTTTTAATTAAACTTATTCATTTGTCATTTTTATTCTTCTGAATATAATAACGATAAAACAGAACAATTACCCCAGTAATATTGATCACTCAAAATAGTTATATAAATTTTTTTAAAACAACCTTGTATACCTTCACTCAAATTGTTTATGAGAGCACTTACAATATAGCATTTATTGAGTAGATTCTATTGTACATGATATTTTGTAGTAATTTTAAGGTTTATTAATACATTAGAATATATTTCTTGATTAAGTTTATTCGATAATGAGATGGAAAGAGTTTAGATAGATTGTACAATGAAAAATTCATTCTGCAAAATAATAAATATTTATATATGTTACTTTCATTAAATTTGTATAGCGTTAAACCAGTTTTGAAGAAGGTATCCAAAACTGAAAGTCATATGGCACGATTTGAGAAGAAGGAAGGTGGACATTCACTTTCTTCTTTCCGTAGTCAACTTAAGTCAACCGGTCATAGTAAGTACGCTTTGGAGGAAAAGGATGAAGTCGTGGTAAGTTCTATAAAATATTATTAAGATGATTAACGTATACCAATAAGTCATCTGTAACTTAGACGTATGAAATTATGAGTCTTATTTGTTTCTAGGTCAAAACAACTAATAATCTTTAGGTAAAATCTTACTTAAGGATATTAAAATAAATCACCTCCTTCATGTATAGAGAGTGAATGTTTACATTGTGTTAATTGCTTATTATATATATATATATATATATATATATCACATTTCATACCACTTATGAATATCACTTTTTCAACTTCTAAGTAAACATCAGATTTCATCTTTCCTACGAGTTTTGACTGTTAGACGATATCATTAACCTCAAACCTTATCAGATAATCATAATCCCTAAAATCCAAGTACTTTAACAAAATATCCGACAAGGCATTTAACTAGATTTCTAGCTAAATTTTTATGATATTACAAACTATAATAATTAGAACATATGTTTTCAACGAAAGAGTGAACACTTGGTAAGTAAATACAGGTTGCGTTTTTAAACTCTGTTCTCTAAATTTAATCATACTGAGATCATACTATGATTATTTACTTATCTGACTTTAGTGACTAATTTTGAGTTATTAAATTTCCCTTTGAATAATATAGGTAATCCTCTAATGATAGTAATTACCGTTTTTGAAATACTTCTAATTTTACTAAAGTATCATCAACTGAATTAATCTGATTTTATTAGATTTTCGATGGCTAAGTGGACATTTGTTCTTAACATCAATAAAACTATTAAATTAAATTTCAATACCTGTTTAAATCATAAGAAAACTTTACGTTTAATAAGAGTGTGGAATAGCTATGTTGACTAGTGTAAGTCAGCATAAATTTATACTTGAAGCCTCCTAGTAAGTACCTCCAACGAACAAAGAAAGAAAGATCAGTCATATCCAGATGTTATTTGTTAGAAATATATGTTATCAGAACAGATTAATATGTCATTGCTGCTTCGATTAATAGTTATCTCAAATCATTCGGAGACATAATATACTTTTTTATAACTGCAATACTTAATGAGAAATAATTTTTTATTTGTCGATGGTGTACATCAGTTCTCTTATATGTAAACCGATTTACAACATTGAGTATTTAATGATACATTGAAAAATAGATTTTCCAGTTAAGAAGTATTGCTTTTAATAAAGCTCAGATATGATTTACTTTAGGGGAGTATGTAACTGACTTTGCTTGATCTTCCAATGATAAGTCTGATTTATTATAACAACCAGGAACATTATATGATCTCTAAGAATAAACAACGTATGGAATTACTTCTGACTACTATTAAAACATTGATTATTTCAAATCAACTCAATTCATACAATCTACTCATAATTATCTTTAACATAAAATGACTTCCTCTTCAAATGATACTTCATTCTGCTCCTATTAGTTTGCATTTTATTCAGTTATATTCAATTGGATTTTGGAATTTAACACTGAGTGAGCATGAGGTTTCATTACAGCTTTCCATTTTGAAGTAGTTTTAAAATATAGGTTGACTTATTTTTTTTGCTGATTACAAATGGACTAGATTGGTTATGTAGGTAAATACATTTCACTAACCTCTTAATACTACTCAGTAATAACTTGGCGACTTTTGGATCTCACATTTTTACCAATGCATTAACTGACCTCTTCAATTAGGACAAAACACCAAGCAATAAGAACTGTTAAAGTGTGAAAAAATAGCAGTAATAGCTATGCTCCGTCGTAATTATCTGTGTCTTCTGAAACAAAACCAAATGCAGTTATTTAATCCTATTCTAAAATCTATCAGTGACTTGTATTAAGTAACTAAATAATTTGAAATTGAGAATTCCGTTTAAAACTTGAACTAACCATGAATAAGTAAATTAAACTAAGGATTTCTTACATTCTTTACATTAACAGTCGTCAATACTGTTAATAACATAAAAGTAATTTGCAATATTCACTTATTTATCCTAATATTAATTTAAATAAACGGTTACTAATAATCATGTATATAATAATATTGAGTAACATAGATTCAATATCATTCATATTACCATTCATATCCTCTATATTCAAAGTATCTACCTAGAATGAATAAAGAATCCAAAATATTTATTCAACTTGATTATTAATTTAAACTAGAATTATGATTTGTAAGCAATGATGGATAATGGCTAGCAGTGGAATCCAGGACGCGCATTTCGTCCTATTAGGGACTCGTCAACTGGGTCTACCTGCATCTCAGAGAGTTGATGTTCACTCCATTGCACAAGCAAGTAGCTATCAGGAATCAGTAGCTGAGTGGATAACGCGGTGGCGTTTGAAGCGAATGGTACTGGGTTCGAGTCCCAGAGTGAACATCAACTCTCTCAGATGCAGGTACATCCAGCTGACGAGTCTCAAATAGGACGAAACGCGCGTCCTGGATTCCACTGCTAGCCACTATCCATCATTGCTTACAAAAAGCTTGTGAATTAAGGTAATATCGAGGCATACGCAGAGTATGCATATATGCCAATAACAGACTGATCAATTACAGTCTTAGACCTTAATGGTAAGATACAAGCCAAACAATACCAAGTGAATTAGAATTATGGTTGAAGTATATTCATGAACAAAAACAGACCATAGAAACTGTAGAAGAGTTTTACATCGAATTATGTTGATTAATATAATTTGCATGATATTAGTTTGAATTTAGTTTTTTTTCTAGATTTGATTTTAAGTTCATTGAATAGTTTAGTTTTTTTATAATTTAAATGATTGTATGTATTTTTTTGTTTTCTCTTTTTTCCGCTTGTTTCATCGTATCTAATCATACATTTCTTTGGATCTTCATATTAAATCTATCCTTTTATAACATACACTATTCAATATACTACAAGAATACACCTAAATAATAGTTTACTCTATCTTTTACCCAAAACATCAATAATCAATTAACAGTCAGTATATCGTTCATAAATAAACTTTTTTATTATTATTATCGTAAAACAACAAAGGACAAAACAATAAAATGAATTAATATATATATAGACATTGAAATTCATTTATCAAGTGACCAAACAAGAAATAATACAGTAAGTTTAGTCAAAGAAATTATATTATTGCTATCTGTCACACCAGATACTTATCTTTTATTGTATTCATTATAATCATATAGACTATAATTTAGTCCCTATTTACAATTATTCTTTTCTCCACTGTTTTTTTTTTGTTGTTGGTGTTTTTTGTTTCTTACATTAATGCTCGCTCTTTTCTGTTTACAATAAATTAACTTCATATGAATGTGTAGAAAGAAGATTGGCGTGATCAATTAAAATCCAAAGAATAAATCCGATAATGTTTTATTTGTTAACAAAATATATACTGAAAATAATATTAATGTTAAATATCAAAAGAATGTTTGTTTGTTTTTCCATACAGAGTATTGTTCTATTAACAAAAATGTAGATCAATGATTCGATGTATTTCTTTTTCATTCCCTATTTTCTTTTATCTATATCTTTCTTTGTTAAATTTCTACTCTCTTATTTTGAATCTTTTTTTTTTTTAGGTGTAATTGTATAGTTGTCCCTAAGTTTTTATTTTGTTAGTTGATTTGAAATGATAATGAACAGAAAAGTATACACCATATTGATTAGTTTATCTTATTACTATGACATTATAAATGTCATGAAATTCTTTAAAATTGTCTATTACATTTTTTTTTCATTTGTCTTCTCTTCTCTATGAATCTCTATATTATCATTCCTTATTTCATGTTGTAATTTTTACATGCTATTTTTTGTTGTTACATATACAAGTATGTCATGGTGCTTTATTTAAATTTTAATGATTATCTTCTAGTTTCGATCTTTTCAATTTATTCATTCTCTAACTCAATATCGGATCATTGTAGATCATTATTCGAATAAAAACTTCATTTCCCTTTACTTCTGTCATGGTTATTACATTCGTTGAATAATATCAATGTTAAATTATCAGTTTATCCTATTTTAACTTGGCAAATTAATACAAACCTGCTTAAGCATTAAAAAAAAATTCTAATTAGTTATTGCACCTCGATCTATATTCCTCTGACTATTGTTTCTCTCTCTATCTATATGTGTGTGTATCAGTTTTTTTGTTTACTTCTCTCATAATACTTATTTCAAATACTGCGTTGCTACTTGATGTCTATTATTTAATTCCCTGTTATGAAAGTCAGTATAATGAAAACTTGAAATAAAATACCCAATACTTTCTTGTTATGTTTTCCGTTTTCATTATTTTGACGTATATAAATTATCAGAAAGGGTTTTATGGAGAGTTTAGTAATTTCAATAGTTGAAATCATGAGATAATTGAAGCTAGAACACCATGGAAAACCTGGAATCACTGGATGGCCGTTTCGTCTTATTGTGGGACTCCTCGGCATTGCGCATCCACGACCTCGCTCCCTGCGAAATTCGAACCCAGGACCTATCATTCTCGCACGAGAGCACTTAACCACTAAACCGCTGAGCCGGCATTCAACGGTGTTAATGTCTAACTTCAACTAATCCACGAAATTGCGCTACCGTATACCATTGTTTTCAGTGAGCTGATATCTCACAACAGACCTGGTTGAACTCCACTGGTCATGCCTTTTCATTAGAACTCCAGGAAATGCTAAATTACAATGCTAGGTAACGATTGATTCTACTTGATAACTATTGTTAATTCAAGATTTTCGCGCTTTGTTAAACGATCTTGTAAACTCTCACGATAAATCTATAATTATTTAATTTAAACCATTCTGGTTATCTCAGATTAGGTTTTCATGAGCGGTTGTCAGATGTCAAAGTATTACTAAGGCTAATATTTCATACACTATTTCAGTTAAAGTGATTCCTTTGTGATCCTCACAAGAGGATTTTTGTCTTTTCTTATAAACTAGAATAATCAGCAATCGAGACTAGTCAGATGCGATCTTAGTTAATCCAGCTGCTAAAAGTAGACCACAATCTTTAAATGTCTTGGGGATTAATTCATCAAGCCCTCCCGCCATCTCTCCTCTTAGATTACTTATAGCCTTTTCAACTTCACTAAGAGTTAGATGATTTACATCACTTCGCCATTCAGGTTGCTTGAAGATATTGGGTAACTGAAGTGTGACTGAAGGCCAGTTGAACTATTCCCTAAAGTATTCTACCCATCGATCCGATTTCCTGGACTGAGAGTGAATAACAGTCCTGTCCTTTTTCGACAGTTTCACCAACAGCCGGACAATTCTGAACACTCGTTTACTTTTACCTATCACTACTACCTTTTCCATCTCTTCTGCTTCCTCTAAGCACCACTGCTCATGATCTATCAATCTATGTCTAGACAGCCTCCGCTCCTGATCATGTTCGGAGCCAGGCGGGCTGAGTTCGGGCATCCTTCATTTCTGTAGACACCGTTGAAATCCACTGATCTTGTTCAATCGATCAATCAGTAGGGCCATAGATAGGGATAACGAAAAGGCAACGCCGTGTGTCCCTATCTTTTCAAGTTTGACTGTCCCGTTTAGTCGGATAGCGCACAAGCGGATGTCTATTGGAAGCCATTCTGACAGAGCCTGTCAAGCTTTCGAAATTGATGCTGAACCTATACCAACGAGGCTACGAGGAGTGGCAGTGGGGTCTCCAGATACTCAAAGGATAAACCGTCCTGGTTCTTCATACTGACAAGTTGGGGTTAAGTGAGTTACTGTTTTGGATCCTGACTGAGTTTTTCTTAGACGCAGCATACATAGATAGTGCGAGATTCCAAAGTCCTAGCTAAAGAAGCCCGTTGTTCTACCTGATGTGAGATTCGAAAATTGAAAGCTCCAACATGTAGTTTATAGAGTAGTTTCGGGAGACTAGGAATAACATTTCGTGGACTGAAATCATTAGCATTAGTGACGCGTGATGATAAAGAGATACGAGAAGGGTTAATTATGGGGATGAATGAATTACCAAGAGGTGAGAAAGTAGTTCGATTGTGAACAAGATGATCTCGGGTGTTGATAGAGGTTTGAGGGTGATTTTCAATTCCCGGTTGCCCACAATATAGTGAAATATTTTTTTCGAGGGTCCTGATAAAGAATCTGAATTGATGATGGCCTAAACAACTTGGAAGCGTGAGAGCAGAGCCTAAGAGACAAGTGCTTGATGCTGATCGCGCACAAGCTTTTCATGAGAAGTTTTTGATATCTTGGCCTCGCACTTCAAAAGATTTTATCGCTGGAGACGGAAATCCATAGTGTAAGGTGGGGTGGAACATTTTGAGGTCAACCTTTTCTAATCCCTTTCTTCCGTTGTGAGAAGACGAGATCGCTGAAGTTACTAGTTGTCTGAGAGGAACACTTTACCAACTTCACACCCCTTTACAATCAGTAGTACAAAGTCGCCCTCGAAACTGCTGCTTTTAATCTTACCATTCTCCAACCAACCTACCTGGCATGCTAGGAACTACAGAAACATGTGTTCCACCCAAGATGGCTCAAGTGAGTTATCAGGAGAGGCAAGGTCGATCACCATTCAAGGTAGCAACTGTTGTTGGGTTTCCAATCTATCACCACATCATCGACCGTTTTATTGAGAATCTAAACGATTAATACAGCCTCAGCTCTAGAGCTCAGTGTGACACCAACTCCGTCAGAACCAGACAAAGATGCCACATGGTTCCCTGATAAACACACGAAACATGCATTTCAAATCGGTAGGTGGACAGCTGATGTATAGTACTTTACTAGAGGCTTTTTAAAGTCGTATCCAAACCTGTCTCTTTTCCGATGTGCATCAGTATGTGAACGTTGAAGGAGGCCAGTTTAAATGGAACAAGTAATTTCAGAAAGGCTGGTTCAGAATGACCGAGTATATGTCTATATGCCATTCGATCCATCAAAATCCTAGAGCACATATGACTAATTGGTTTGTGATAAAGGTTTTCCGATTCCCCTAGGTGGATCTTTCTTATACAAAAGCTCAGTTTGAGTGCTCACTATTCACTTTTCGTCTTCTCAACTCTGTAAATAACACTGCTGCGAGAAAGGAGTGAGTAGGACTTCTCTATCAGTGACAATATATGCGTGGTCGTATGATGCCACTCCAAGAAGGGAAGCGGGATTTCCCAACCTTTTGCAGTACCAGGGAATCTGGGGACTTATAACCACATTGACGGGCACTAGGCCCATTATACCAATAGGTCCTTTTATATATTTACATTTTAATTGTTCATTACAATCCATTCTAAAGTCGTATTCATTTCATTAAAAAGACATTACAAATGTCTATATAAATTGTTCAAGACATAAATAGGGTTTAAAATTTTATGTTGACCTAACAATATTTATTCAAGTTCACAAAATATTAGATCCTTGATTTCAACCTTAGAACGGAATGTCAGAGATGGGAGATTTCATAATGCATTCACCACACAAATTCATTGCGTCTTTATTTATGCATACATAAAGAAGGCAAAAGGTCAAAAAGATCTTCAACTCTACAAACCATAACTGTGGATGAAAATCACTTTTTTTCCTTACTATATTCAACAAGTTATTAAAATTATTGATCTTACTGATTTATATATTGGGAGGTAATGTTTTCCACACCGTGTTTAAGAATGGTAGTTATGCTTTAAAAATTGGTAAAATTCACTTGTATTTGAGAGATCTGTCCACAGCTCTACTAGATGATTTAAAACATCAAATTGATATCTAAATTTTAATTTTAAATTAGCCATCATAGTATATCCCAGAGAAATAGCATGTTCATTTACTATGATATTTGTATTTACCCTGATCCAAAATTCAAATAATTGATGATTTTAAGAAATATGAGATCTAATTAGCGTAAAGTTTTACCAATAGAATAAGATAATAATCTGTGGTTTTGTAGTATAAATCTTAAATGTTCTTAAACCTCACCTAATGTTCTTCGTGTTTGTAATGGTAAAAACAAGTAAGGAGAATCAATCAGCTCATTAACAGCGAAGATATAAATTGGGTTACAAAATTGCTTATTCGCAGTATTTTTGATGACAGAATCACTCTGATAGTAACCACTATGAAAATATGCTTTTTATTATGTAGTAACTTTTAATCACTACTTAACTAGCAATTAGTCGCATAAAAGGTATATCTATATATATCTTCCGGAAAACGTGCCCATCTGCATAACAGAATGCTTATCAGTTTCAATAAGTGATGAGTATTTTTGAACACGATTTAATTAAGTGGCATAACAAATAGTTCATCCTTACATAACCTTTTTATTGATTGTGAACGTGCTTGTAGTGATGCGATTAGAAGAAAAGGTTATAAATCTATTATATCGTATGACTAAATATAGATAAGCCTTCAATATCTTGCCTGCTACATTTGATGATTCACTGTGAAAAGTCTACTAGACGTATAGAACATTTTTCAATTTACGTTCGTACTGGTGATTATAATGCTGTTTAATAAATATTTCCTGCATAACTCCACGTTTTTAAAGATACCTGAGTATTTCAACCTGGTTTTACATTGTTTCATTTTAAATAAGAAACTTTTCATGACAAGTTTTTTATTGGTAAAGAAAGTCAATGTATACTTATATTTATCATGTGCTCACTAACGACAAGCTTCGAGGAGTTACCTTATGGCATTCTAGTGATAAACCTTGACCAATGAAGTTCAACCGTGTCGGGCGTGGCGCAGTTATCTACTGAAGACTATGGAAGATGATCGCGCAATATCGTGAATTGATTGAAGTTGGACGTTAACACCGTTTGGTGCCGGCTCAATGGTCTAGAGGTTGAGCGTTTACACGAGACCGAAGGTTCTGGGTTCGAATCACGCGTGTTGAATTATGTATATGCACAAAATGGCTGACCACTGCTTCCATATTTTCATTTGTGGCCTTACACTTTTCGTTCTATGGTCTAATGGAAACCAACACTGTTGACCTTTTTTAAGCAAACTTTATTAAAATTGCAGAATCATCATGAAAATTAATGTATGGCGTTATAACTAGTAATGATTTCTGTTACATGAGGCTCCACACGAAAATACGTTTAGTACTTCTTGAGTCATTATTATGGTTCAATCTACATCAATTCACAGATAGATTGCCACCTTGTTGTAACAATTCCTTAATAAAACAGTTTAAATCGCGACGGCGTGAACTATAAAGTGATTTAGGATATTTGAAAATCCAAAATAAAATAACACATTATTGTACTCATTCTAATGTTGTACAATCGCGAAAGAAAACAG